AAAAATATTGCAATAAATAATAGGTTTCCCACCAACTAAGTAACAAATTGTTATACAAATAATTAAATTATAGACATAATATAGACATTACACAAAAAAATACAGCCCAATCATTTGGCAAAATCAGCCAAACATTTTGGTACACATATAATTATATATAAAACTACCAAACATTTTGGTAAAAACCGCCCAAAATTTTTTGTAAAAATGGACAATTAAATATTCCTAATTTATTATAAATCCAATGATATTTATTTACATGTCTCCAAATACATGTACATCTAGGTGAAATGAAATAGACATCCTTTAACTTTAAGATCATGTATAAGAGGTGGATTTGATAGAAAGACTTTCAAAAATCGTGAAAGTACTTTCAATAAACCATTGTTTGGAAATGAATGAAAATCGGGCCTTTAATGCCTTCGGGGACTAATAAACATCACTCACAGGCTAGTAGTGAGAACATTAGATGTATTTTGCTGCAAAATCTAAAAAATCAAGATTAATGGTCAGCTACATGTTACACTATCAGTAACAGCTTGGAAGAGTGTGAACAAGCCAACAGTGAGGCTGGTGTCCCCCGCCGAAACCCAAAATAAATAGATGATACATATAATATGACATATTAATTAATTGCACATTTATCTTTTTCAGAAATATTGAACAATCAAAACTGATTATCTATACTTAGTCTAAGCAGAAAATGTTCATGATCAAACTCAGTCAAATTTTTGAAGTACTTGGTAGTGAAACTATACACTAAATTTATCACTCTCCATCAGTAAGAATCAAAGTTATCTTGTCCCAAAGCATCGACCAATGAAATTGTTTAGCTCTGCTTAGCTTTAGTGGGAAATGTTAATCATTGAACTTAGTCAAGACACTCACCTATGAACATCTACATCAAGTTTAAACATTCTACCTCAATTAAAAGCAGAGTTATTATGTTCCAAAGGCTTGACCAATGAAATTGCTTATTGCTCTGCTTACCCTGAGCAGAAAATGCTCATTATCAAACTTATTCAAGGTGATGATGTAATGAAACTATACACCAATTTTCATCACTCTCACTTTATTAGAACTAAAGTTATTGTGTACGAAAGCATCAACCAATGAAATTGCTTATCTCTGCTTACCCCAAGCAGAAAATGTTCATCTTTGGACTCCATCACGACATTCACATAAGGAACACCTACGCCAACTTTGAATATTGTACCTCAATCAGAAAGTAAGTTATTGCATTCCAAAGTTTCAACCAATCAAAATGCTTATCGCTTTGCTTACCCTCAGCAGAAAATGCTCCATTATCGAACTTAGTCAAGGTATTGATGTAATTAGAACTAAAGTTATCGTGTCCCAAAGCATTAACCAATCAAATTGTTTATTTCTGCTTTTGCTAAGCAGAAAATGTTCCTCTTCGAACTCCATCAAGACATTCACTTAATAAACACCTACACCAAGTTTGAACATTCTAGCTCAATTAGAAGCAGAGTTATTGTGACGGACAGCGGACAGACAGACCAAGTTTAATAGTCCCCTGCTTTCTTTGCAAGGCAGAGGACAATTACGTAAGTACCAAACAGTTGATTAATTAGTAGTAAGTACTCACCTTCTTCTTAATTGATTATTTGTTCAAAATGATTAAGACTAAGAGCTAATTGTTCTTTTTATCAAATGATTAAGAACAGTCAATTGTTCTTTTCTTCAAAGGAATATATGTTGTGTAAAATGTATTGTTTTTAGAATATATTTTTATTTCAATGGTCACAACTCACATTGACCAAAATATGGCTGTTACAATAATATTTCATAACCAATGTTTTGGTTGTTACTAAAGTTATGGGTGTTTTGACCAATTGACAATGTTTTGGGCGTTTTGGCAAAATCATGACCATTTTGATCACATTAATTGTGTTTTAACGGCCAAACATTTTTAATTTAATGAAAAACAATATATCTGAGCAAATATTGTTGTTTAAAGATTGGTGAAAATTGGTAAAAACATACAAACGTCCGTGTATATCAAAAGTCTCCTTAAAATTGGTTGTTAACACACAAAATAAAAAGTCCTTGTATATTAAAAAGTCAATTTAAAGCACACTTATAAAATCGCTGTCGTGTGAAAAGAGAGGGCGGTTCATCTTCTCCCTTTGTCATAATAAAAACAAGTTAAAACAGGAGGTTCAGCTGAATGATGTTTGGCGCCATCAGTGCGGATAGAAAAAAAACGCTTGCGTTACGTGGATGACATAAGCCACTCAAGAGCTGTGGATATTGCCTTTAATTATTAGATGAAAATGGATATACATGTACATAAGTCAAGAAGTCTTCATCTGAGAGACAGGAAAACAAAACATCAATGTGGTGCTACTGTTATACAAACCATGTGTCCCGAAGAATTTTTCAGTGGAAAAATAGCCCATAACCACCCAAGCCAACCGGCAAATTACATGCTGTAATTCAAAGGAAAGAGGTGAGTCCTAATTAATCAACTGATTGGATAATCCCTAATTAGGTACTTCACACCATTTATTTTTTATCAAATAAAGGTAAAAGAAATGGCCATCTCCAATCCAGGGTAATATTTGAAGAAGTAGCAAATAAAATTTTAGAAGAAGATCAGCCAATTTACTTCTGCCACTCCAATCTGCTCTGGGCCCTGTTTCACGAAATTTTAACTAAAGATAAAATCCAAATTTTAGTAGATACTTCAATTTTGATTGGCTAAGCACTAAAATCAATCTAATATTATCCAATCAAATTACTAAAATTTGGATTTTATCTTAGTTAAAATATCGTGAAACAGGCCCCTGATGTTTGAGGGGAAACTTCGCAGGTATTTGATAAAAAAAATAGAACAGAAAGACAAGATGTAATTTTCAATTCGTGGAATGAGTACAAAGAAGGTAGTATCAGTGTGTCGATGCTGCTAGGGATATGTACCAGAGTTCATGGTCCAGTAGTGTAAAGGAGAGAGAGAGAGAAGAGAAATGGGGTTTAACGTCCACTCAACATAAACTAGGTAATTTCATGACAGGACTAACACATGGTTCAATTTATTTTTTATTTCAATAATTCGCTTGAGTGTAGGGGTTTTTAGCAGTGGGAGGAAACCGGTAGTATCAGTGTGTCGATGCTGCTAGGGATATGTACCAGAGTTCATGGTCCAGTAGTGTAAAGGAGAGAGGGAGAGGGAGAAGAGAAATGGGGTTTAACGTCCACTCAACATAAACTAGGTCATTTCATGACAGGACTAACACATGGTTCAATTTTTTATTTCAATAATTCGCTTGAGCGTAGGGGTTTTTAGCAGTGGGAGGAAACCGGAGGACCCGGAGAAAACCCACGAGGTTGGACAGGCGACCCTACTCCTTGTCACGTACAACCGGGGATTCAAACCACGCCAGTTGACTCAATTACAGACAGTATGATACAGCGCGTGCGTGCTAACCATTCGGCCATCCAACCCCCCCTAGTGTAAAGGAGATATACAATGTAATATCTATATGTAATGTTTTTTTAATGTACTGTATTAAATTAATGTTTATGTAATGTATGTATTTATATTATCTATTACGCAATATTTTTGTTAATAAATATCATTTCCTATATGTAAAAAATGGTTAGTTTTTTGGGGGGCCGTTATGACCAAATTGTTTGGTCGTTTCGACCAATTTTTTTGCAATAAATGTTGTTTTTTTTGTGTATTAAATTAATGTTTATGTAATGTATGTATTATATTATCTATTAGGCAATATTTTTGTTAATAAATATCATTTCCTATATGTAAAAAATGGTTTGTTTTTTGGGGGGGCCTTTATGACCAAATTTTTGGGCCGTTATGGTTTGGGACCGTTACAGTATGTCTATATAACCCATTAATTCGCATGTATCTGTACTCACCCGTGTTACAAGCTAATCAAATTGATGAAGCACATCAAAGAAAAACAATTAAATTGTTGATGTAATAAAGAAGAATATTTGCTAATATGCACTTACCCGTAGCGCACGCCTAGTAATGAAGACATTGTTAAGTTATGTATATTCACCTATAAATCAATCGCTCCTTTGTATTGTGATTTAATAATATTAATAAATAACATATTGTCTGTATTTTATTTTTAATATAATATAATTTAATTGGTCCGAGTGGTCCTTTGGGTTGTTCCGAATAGCAAAGATAAATATTGGTCCGAGTGGTCTTACAATATGAATTAATTGGTCCGAGTAGTCTTTTGGGTTGGTCCGAGTGGTCTCTGTGTTGGTCCGACTGTTCTTTTTTTTGTCCGACTGGTCTTGGTCCGAGTTGTCACAAGGAACTAAAGGCATATCTCAACATTTTTAGCTACGTTCTCGTAGCTAGGTCAAAGTGGACTTGGTCCGAGTGGTCTTTGCTTAGTCTTTGGTGTCTGGATACAGTTGATTTAATGTGATGTTAAATTCTTTGTTTTGGTTTTGTTTTTATTAGTCAATTCAAAGATCAACTTATATATGAGCATATAGGCCTATGCCCTATTGTCAATAAATAAAAGATTTAGCAAATGCCAATATAGCAATATTAGTCACATGCTCATGATTTACTGTTCTGTTGTTTTGGACATTTTGGTGTCATTTTCTCTTCTCTTTTTTCAAATCTAATATCCATCACACTGATCAGATTTAATTTATTTTTTGAATATAGTTTAAGCAATAGATCACTGTAAATGTGTCCACATAGGTTATTCAATTCAACGATTTAGTATTAAATTATTATGATTTTTCTGACAGATTTGACAATATTTACCTCTGATACCAGCCATCTTGGGATACGAAAACTCACGAGTTAATGACGTCACCACTTTCGGGGTATTGTAATTGCTAGTCTTTTTTTTATATAACAATGTTGACTTGGAATTTTTTCACAAGTTGAATTCCATTCCATTATGAGTGAAATGTTTTCGAATTGAAATAAATGAAACTTTCATAGATATAGTTGTATTATCGTTATTATTAACTAGTTTCCGCCGTGTAATTGAGGGGTCACGTGATCCACAATACACACCATCCATTTTGAGATTTCTGAATTGTTCCGGTGCGTCTCTTTTGTAACTATTGAATAATTAGATTTCTTCAACCAAATACATTATATTTTAATCGACAGAATGGCAGAATCTGGAAAGTAGGTATTTTGTTATGATAGTAGTCTGATCTTAGATCGGAAAGTAATGAAAATAACCACGTTCTAGTGGCTGTAGAAGTCCGTTAGCGTGTTCATCATCAGAAAAGTTCCAATTTCACTTTGTCATGCGTTCATATTTGACACGCATAAAGAGAAATCAGCTGTTTGTATAATATTCTTTTGTTTGTATTCGAGTTCACATTTACCCTTGTTATTTTAAGTGAACGTTTGTTCGAATTGATTTGGCCATTAACTCTCGAGTAAAACAAAGGAGGGCGACAAAGTCGGAAAAGAGCAAAGGCTGGCCGTTTGCGTATATAGGCCTAGTTCCAGCAGACATTCGTGAATCCTGATTTTTTTTTTTTTAAAAACAAAAACCTTTACGTAACTTTGATCCTCTACGTTTGTTTAGTAATTCACGTTATGTTTTTTGTATTCAAAGTCAGCGTATTTGTTACTATTTTTGGCCACTTGTGAAAATCTATGAACTAAAAATAGCACTTCTGAATAATGAAACTGCTAGCCTAGTGTGTAGTCAAACGTGTCAGTCACAGAATGGGCAATATATTTCAAATTTGCTTTATCACAACATAAGCATACATTTTATAATGAGATTCTTGGACAGCAATTTGATATTTGTGGAAAGTATTTCCAAAAACCTTTTTAAAAAAAGTAGCTTATAAAGTTAATAAAGTATAATTCTTCTGAAGGAAAAAAGATGGATAGGTATTCTTTCTTAACAAATCTACCTAGATCTATTATTAAACATTTTGAGTTGGATTTTGATTTAAAAAAACAATGGATTATTTTAGTTATTGTTTATCAAGCAGTTTGCTTATTGATAATATCAGTATTGAGAATTAAATCTCTAAATATTCAGAGCTTTACAGGTGAAACATATTTTGGGGACACCACAAACTGATGTTTAAACTTAAAGTTAAAGGCATATGATAATGTTCGTCTTTAGCAGTCATTGCTAAAGCTATTTATAAATGACTCTTCTGTTATGATTTCAGTGATGATTTGTCGACTGCAATATTACGGCGCAAGGAGAAACCAAACCGTCTCCTTGTTGAAGAAGCCATAAATGAAGATAACTCTGTTGTTTCTCTTTCACAAGTAAGTAATTGCCTGTTATTAGTTTACTGATTACGGTACTCATTCTTACTTGTGCATAGTCCAAGTGGAGAAGAATGGCTTTCCATTTTGCTTTGAAAAAAGTATAGCCTGATCTCAAGGAAATGTTTTTATTTATTTTTGCTTATTCAAGTTCTAATACAGACAGGTTATTCTATTTCTAGTTTTTTTTGGATACAGCAAACAATTCCAGACTAACAGTAATAATATAGTTTTACTAAGAATTCACCTAATTGTAGGAAATGGATTGTTTCTTCTATAGACCCAAAACTATGTTGCGCACCTTTGGTTGAACGCTTTCAGTCGTAACAAGTTTCCAGATTTAGGTCTAAATTAAATACTGTTACTAAAGCCCACCGCAAACCGACTAACATTTGTTGGCACTTAAAGATACATTATGTAAGATTTAGATAAAGAGCTAGCTATTCTTGCTATAATTGTTCAAAAATGGATAATGTAAAATGAATAATTTGAAAATTTCATTCAAATTACTCTATATTGCGAGCGAAGATATTATCCTTTGAAGGTTTGACAAGAAGTGCAATAATTTTAACCACCGTACTGATTGTTCGAAGCTAAGTCTCAGTCCTCCATTTTTAGCTTAAATCAAACTATGGCTGAACTCTTCTAATCTATTTAATATCAGAAAATCTGATGCCATCGAGAGTTGATTATGGCCTGGATTAGTTAATTAATGTCTAATTAATAATTTAGAAAACATTTCAGGCCTAAAGAAAGACCTGCAATAGACAGATTTAGCCCTTGCATAATGTATGTTTAACAAAACAAATGTTTTATACCTGTTTTGAATTTCCTGCAAACGAAGAATGTATAACACTATTGAAACCGAAGTTCAAAAGAGACCGAAGTTGATGTCGCATGATTCACCCAAACATCATGTGGTCACAAAATGGCGACGACGGCCTTTCTGTATGACATAATCGTTTGCAAAATACTGATTAGATGCCCGTTTAAAATGTTTTGCTCTTTGTTGAAATTAAACACAAACGAGACCAACACGAACATTTGTTGGTCGTACAATGTTTTCGAAATCAAACAAGTTTGATCTTGCAAACTTTGTTTGGCCAACAAATGTTCGCATTGAAATCCAACACACACCGACTAACTTTTGTCGAAAAACCTTGTCCAGACGACAAATCTTAGACTGTCTGCGATGGGCTTAATGTGATGTGTTATTTGAAATAGAATGCATTGCCATTAAAACATTCTCAATTTATTTTCCAGAAAAAAATGGATGAATTACAGTTATTTCGAGGTGACACAGTTTTATTAAAGGGAAAGAGAAGAAGAGAGACTGTGTGTATTGTATTATCTGATGATACAGTTACTGATGACAAGATTCGTATTAATAGATGTGTCAGAAATAATCTACGTGTTCGACTCATGGATGTTGTTAGGTAATATTTTCATGCACTTTCTGTTTGTATTGACGATGCAGTCATTGTTTCTTAAGGTGAGCGATCGCTCTCAAGCGCCTGCCACTCACCTGAATGTTGACCAAGGGGAGCTTTTTCTCCCTCTCCTTAAAATTGAAAGTCATGGGGGGTTTATTATCATTTATAAATCCAGGAATTACCCCCTAACATGCAGTTATTGATCTTCAGAACCATTTCCCATACACACAACTAATCACTCTCCTTAATTTCTAAATCACTCTTCTTATCGAAACTGGCAGAGCTTTTTAAAGGGAGCGATTTTTTCAATCTGTTAATTAAGGGGAGCTTTTTTTAGGGTGACCCGTGCACTCTACAGAAAGTTGGTCTCGACACGGCTAAATGTGCACACTTCAGTTGCGTGTCTCGAACTGATTTCTGACTACCCCGCACTCTCTTTGAGTCGATAAATAGCCATGGCATGTGCAATTCTCTACAAATATATCAACTGTTACAGCCGTAAAAAATCTATTGTTGACGATTTTGAATAGCAGTAAAATTTAGCTTCTTGGTTATTACAGCAGCTTTAGAAATTACGTTTGTTTTATTTTATTTAACTGTACCGTTAAGAACAGCATCTTTTGGTTTAGTACAAATAATATCTCTGAATCACTTTCGTTAGCAGGAACATGATACTAGCAGTAGTTTCATTTTACTTTTACAAGTTTCTTAAAATAATTGTTGAGTTGGCTAAAGTGCTTATTTCAAAATTCAATTTCTTGTTCTAGCTTTCTGTTATGTTTCGTAAAAAAGTAGTCTTGATTATCCCGACTTGTCAATCAGACGTAGAATGGTCGATAGACTGGTTAAGCGATACCAATTTCAAAACAAGGGCACGTAACCTATCTTTTACTCAAAAGTGTCTGGATGTTATGGACGACACTTGGAACCAGTTTTCAGTCTATTATTTATAGATGATGAATGGTCATAGCTTATTAAGTACAACATGATCGTTTATTTAGTGACTATAATTGTGTGAAACTGATTTGAGGCTTGGCATATAATATATAAATATTGTGGCGTAATTGTCGAGATATTTGGAGATATTTATTTATGGTGGGTCGCCCTACTTTTTTCGGCTCTCCTGTAGAATACAAACAACAACGACTGACGATGTTATTATTTTAAAAATCAATAACCCCTTTTCTATTGTACACTTAAATATTTTAAATCCACCATACCGTTGTTGGGATTTTAAAATTTTTCTTGCGGCCATTTTTACAGAAAATAAAGGGGCATAACTCTTATCGCGATTTAAACAGGCTGTTTCAGACCACAATTAAAAATAATGTGTCAACAAAACATTCAAATCCATGCGTAATTAAAAAAAATAGGTGCACCTTGTTATTTTTCATATTTAATTCCTATATGGTATTCAGATTTATGTCAGTAATATTCCCTAGAAAATTACGCGTTATCGTAATACGACAGAATGAAAGCATGCCGACCCTTACCTGTTTCAAATTCCTCCAAAATTACAGTATTTTTTTCTGGGTATAAGCAGGGCTCTATAAAAGTTGAGTGTGCCTGCGCACACACTTGAAAATGTGCCTGCAGGGTCATACTCAAAAGGAGAGTATTCAATTGCCAGGTATATAGTATGATTGTGGGGGGGAGGGGGCTTACGAAAGCTTCTTGGGTTGGACTCGGCAGATGAAGAAATTATAAATAATTAAAGAATATGTTTGATGTGCATATTGTTGTTGTTTGGGGTTGATATAAACATAGAATAGATACCTTCCGGCTTCAAACAAGTTCATTAAATTCCTTTGCACAGCCAGGTTGTCATTCGTTAAACTCAACTTCCGGTATAATTCGGATACTAACAAGAGTTGTTTCCCTTGACGATGACAAGATATTCCTGCACCTTAACTAAATAAAATATTAAATAACATCACCACAAACTCGCCAAGAGACTTTGGTCTTTTTTCCACTTGATACTCGATAGGAAGCCATCGTTATAGAATTATCAGGTGTAAGTGTGATTACTACACGGTACTGGTGTTTAGGGGTCGCCGAGGTCACAGGTGATAGTTCATACGCCACATGCTATTCTTTTAACCATCGACTGGCATTCTACTAGAATTGTCACTAAATTAAGCAGAGGTCACAAGTGATAGATCATAAGTCACAGGTGGAATCACTAACGTCACGTGCTGATGTTTTTATCATTGACTAGCTTATTCTAGTAAATTATTATACGGTAATCAAAAAAAAACAAACAAAAAAACAACAACAATAAAAATAAATAGTATTCTTTATTTTACATGATTACGTTAATTTTTAAAAATGTGCCTGCAAAACAGTTTTTTAAAGCAAATGTGCCTGCGCGGAAATATCGATGCCTGGGTAAGTTTGATACATTTTTTAGCAGAAATTAGGCATTCGTTTTACACTTATATATATATACCACAAAATGACATACCACAACGAGCGAGTAACATCATCTGCTAAAATGATCTCATTCGACTCGACTCTAAAACAATTTGTTTAAAAACGTAAACCCCATTCAAAATATGATCATAAATCTGAGAATATGCCATCAAAATAGAATCTTTTCTCTGATATTAGACGTGTGGGATTTGTCATGTTTCCATTTCATAAATTCACGCGCCTCGTAAGATTTCTAGTTCCATTTTAGGTATTGTGCTATAACTGCATGTGATCAGAAATAGAGCTTGCATTGTCTAGTATTTTTCGTATATGTGTGTGTGAAATAGCTAAATATTTAATGCCCGGAGTGATATTGCAGACAAGTTATCAGATACAATATATATTGATTTGGGGTGTTATATACTATCAGGATATATGTGACATATATGACTAATTTCTACGTGTTGTCAGCCGACATCAAGGAGATTAAAACGTCTGACAATAAAGAATTCACGGGTTAATCACATAGATTAAATTTATAATTACTCTTATTATCGTCCGACAAAGGAGAAGCAATTCTGTTCAGGATTGGATTGATAAATTGTCTGATTTTCCGGCGTGGTTCGCCCTTGTCAGTGATGCAGGACAGTGGGCATGACAAGGACAGCTGTCTAGTCGTTCGGATGGGACGGAAAACCGAGGTCCCGTGTACACATTGGCATGCACGTAAAAGTTCCCTTGACAATGATAGTTGATATTCGATATAAGAGTAGGCCGTAGTGCCACTGTCCGGGCAAAATTTCCCTCATAGCACACTGTATGGCGTATGCCTTCATCATTAGCCCAGTTCGGAGCAGAACAGTAGGACGTTAAACCTCATTTCATTTCATTTCATAAATTGTCCGACAAAGGATTAAGTCAGCCAATCAAGGCAGATTAACTTGTTAATCAAGGTAGGTGTATAGGCGTAAAACATAATAAATATACGTTGATCACTTAATTACCTAATCAATCCAGCCTATATTTTGAATATTATTTACCATCTTGATGTCTGATTGAGCATATTCCTGGTCAGACAATTTAGGGCGTTTGGAAAATAGCGTCGGACATGTCCGGAATATACGGGCGAAATCCCATCACTGCACCATACTATTAAATGAGCATATTTTTTAAGGAAGATAATTATAACATCTTAGATATCAAATTCATGTGTTTTTAACCAATTTACTGATCACAGAACAAATTGAATCAGAGATTTATAAACATAAAACATTTCTGAGTAATCACTTTAAATCAATCAATAATGTAATAATGTCTTCGTCTGTTTCAGTATTCAAGCATGTCCAGATGTAAAATATGGAAAAAGAGTGCATGTTCTACCCATTGATGATACAGTAGAGGGACTCACAGGGTAAAAGAACTTTATTTATATTGCATTCTCATGTTCTGATACCTAACTTTATAGATTTTATAATGTCTAAGGTCAGACTCGTTAAATAGATACGATACTTCAGTGACATATAGTAAGAAAAAAAAAGAAATTTTAAGCCTGGATGCAATGCTGATAATGTAACAAATATATAATGATCTGTGGCTGTAAAAAGAGTATAATAAGTCATAAGTAAATGTTTTGTAGTGGACATCTTTATAATCATAGAACTTCTAATTATGTTGGGGGGTAAGATGGCTGAATGGTTAGCGTGCGCACGCTGTATCATAAAGCCTGTCATTGAGTCAACTGGCGTGGTTTCGAATCCCCGGTTGTACGTGGCAAGGAGTAGGGTCGCCTGTCCAACCTTGTGGGTTTTCTCCGAGGCCTCCGGTTTCCCTCCCACTGCTAAAGACCCCTACGCGCAAGCAAATTCTTGAAATAAAATTAAACCATATGTTAGTCCCGAAATGACCTAGTTTGTGTCGAGTGGAAACCCCATTTCTCTCTTTCTCTCTCTCTCTAATTATGTTAGCATTATGTTAGTAAATTGTGATTATATTGCTATTTTTCAGAAACTTGTTTGAAGTATACCTGAAACCCTATTTCCTAGAAGCTTACAGACCAGTAAGAAAGGGTGATATATTTTTAGTACGAGGAGGTATGAGAGCCGTAGAATTTAAAGTTATTGAAACAGATCCATCACCCTACTGTATCGTAGCACCTGACACAGTTATACATTGTGAAGGAGAACCGGTCAAACGTGAGGTATAAAGCAATTTCATATATTTGGTTTGACTAGAGAAAGAAAAGAATATCATCACTTGTTTGAGTTGAGGTTTCTTATACGCCCACATTTTCATTAGCTTGTTCTCTATCCATCTATTACAAAATGTGGGCGTAGTTTGCCTGGCAACCGCTGGGTTTGGGTGTTGGAAGATGTTGCTGATCAAGAATTTTGCTTTTGAGGTTGCATCTTTTCTCTTTATTATTTCCTTGTTGATTAATCATTTATGACATAATTGTAGGAAGAAGAAGAAGCGTTAAATGAAGTAGGATATGATGATATTGGTGGTTGTCGTAAACAGTTGGCACAGATTAAAGAAATGGTGGAACTTCCCTTAAGACATCCTCAACTATTTAAAGCTATTGGTGTAAAGGTACATAGCTTAATGCACACATTTTGGATGAGTCCTGGAGACCAATCACTTATTGAAAGGATCACAATTCAAAATGGCATCAGTGTCATTAATTTGATTTTTACAATCATTGGGGAAAAATGATTCCATATTATCCATTGTAATGATTCCGATAAAGTCCTCACCGTCTGTGTGTATGTATGTGTGTCTGTGTGTCGCCTACAGGCAGCAATTCTTAACTGATCTTCTTGAAACTTTATATACTTATTCCTTATACCCTAAGGAACACCCCTATTGTTTGTGGTGCAGACCCAACCCCCAGGGTCAGAGCCACCCCCATGTTCTTTTTGTGTGTCGCCTACAGGTCACAATTCTTAATCGATTGTTTTGAAAACTTTTCATACTTTTTCCTTGTACCCTAAGGATGACCTCTATAATTTTCGGTGCATGCCTGGCCCCCTGGGACAGAGCCATGCCTAATTTTGTGTGTGTTTCACCTACAGACCGCAATTCTTAACAGATCCTTTTGAAACTTTGCATACCTATTCCTTATACCCTAAGGATGTTTTTTAGTGATTGCTTGACCCCCATGGAGGGGGGTGGGGGTGGCAAGGAGTAGATTCGCCTGTCCAACTCGTAGGTTTTCTCTGGTCCTCCGGTTTCCTCCCACTGCTAAAGACCCCTATGCGCAAGTGAATTATTGAAATAAAGAATTGAACCATATAGTCTCTGAATGACCTTAAACCCATTTATACAGACTGCAATTCTGAATGGATCATCTTGGAATTTTGCATATTTATTCCTTATACCGTAGAGACAGCAATTTTTTATTTTAGTGCATGTCACAACCACCTTGGTGGTTTCGCACCCACTTTTTTGTTAATATTTAGTCTATAAATTTGGCAAACAAACCCAACACCTACCCTTCTTTGCCTCTTGTCATATTACAGTCATTGCAGTCATTTCATATTTCATTCTCTTCATTTTAAAAAGCACCATAACAATCAAAGCAGGTATGTGGACGTATATTGCAGCATTAGTGATGACCTTGTTTCTATAAGAGATATTAATATAATTATTTACAGCATAAAACAAAAGATATTAAATTTAAAATTTTCAGCCACCAAGAGGCATTTTATTATATGGTCCACCAGGAACTGGTAAAACTCTTATAGCTAGAGCTGTTGCTAATGAAACTGGTGCTTTCTTTTTCCTTATAAATGGTAAGTATTATATCAATCTTTCGTAAAAGTGTGGACCGGTGTCCTTAGAAATCATATTTAGCCACCTAATTTCCAACATTATCTATCTGTAATTACCATGTGAAAGTGTAAGTCAGTCTGTTGATCTGGAAATGTATCTAAATATTTTCTCTAAGAAACTGGCCTGTACTGGCTGAGTTGCAATAGTAACGAAGCTCTTGATTTAGTTATAGTAATATATTTAACTATTTTAAGGACCTGAAATTATGAGTAAATTGGCAGGCGAATCAGAAAGTAACTTAAGAAAAGCTTTCGAAGAGGCTGAAAAGAATTCTCCTGCTATTATATTTATTGATGAACTTGATGCTATAGCGCCAAAAAGAGAAAAGGTTGGTAATCATTTATCAAGATTTCACTTTAGAATTATCATCAAACCTTAGACCATTGTTACTCATTATGTTTAACTCGGAAGAAAAGCAATGAGTATTAAAATAAACACAAATATCCTAAAAGACCATAGCTGAAACATTTGGCATGTGTTTGTTTTCCTATGTCACACTTCTACTCGAACCAGGACTGGCTAAATTGTATCATGTCATTGTAATTTGATTGTAATCCCATTAATTTAAGAACTGTTCGGTCTCATCATTACTCATTTGTGATTTAGTCTTTTTGAGGTATAAAAGTAAGAGGTGGAGGACTCTTCTACATGAAATAAAAAAAAAAGAATAAAAATCTGGCAAAACTAAGCATCCCCATAATAGTCATACTCCTTGCAATGTTTCGTTTGATTAAACCTAATCCCACACAGACACTGCCATACTCGGCACAAATTTCTGTGCCAAATTATGACTGGTTAACAGTCCGATCAACAACCAGTACATTACTACGTACATGTAACAAAATCAATCGGGATTAAACAGAGTTCTAAATATGTTACCATAAAGTGTCTGGTGACATATGCGGGTACATTACGTCATAACATGCAAAATGTATTACTGAATTGACTAGTGCACAATAGAATATTGCAGAGAAAATAATTGTTTGATAAGCAAGACTATCCAAAATAGCTACACTGTAAACATTGGGATCGCCGCGCACGTGGAATCTGTTTATCATCTCTTGTACCACACAGCAGATCAAAGAGAAGGGCTGTCATTTTACGTATTGTGTTTCAACATACTGAATAGAATATGAAGTGCATTTTTGATAAAATGAATAATTCATGGATATTCTTCACAAAAACGGATAAATGTTATCAAATATTTAAAGGTAGTCAGTAATAATTGCTACAGACAGACACGTTTAAAGAATTTATATCAGAGATTTGATTCAAAGAATAGCAAGTTTCAGCAACGGCCAAATTTATTTATGCGACTATCGATGTTTGGTCCTGATGCACCCAAGAGTTAAAAGTTTCTTGAAATCAGCACAGGATTTTTTTTGTCCCCCGCCTTTCGAAGAAAGCAGGGGACTATTAAAATGGGTTCGTCCGTCTGTCTGTCTGTCCGTCTGTCTGTCCGTCCGTCTGTCTGTCCGTCACACTTTTTGGGACACAATAACTCTCTTCCTAATTGAGCTAGAATGTTCAAACTTGGTGTATGTGTTTATTAGGTCAATGCCTTGATGGAGTTCGAAGATGAGCATTTTCCGCTTAGGGTAAGCAGAGATAAGCAATTTGATTGGTTGATGCTTTGGGACACGATAACTCTCTTCCTAATTGGGCTAGAATGTTCAAACTTGGTGTATGTGTTGATTAGGTCAATGCCTTGATGGAGTTCGAAGATGAGCATTTTCCGCTTAGGGTAAGCAGAGATAAGCAATTTGATTGGTTGATGCTTTGGGACACGATAACTTTTAATTGAGCTAGAATGTTCAAACTTGGTGTATGTGTTTATTAGGTCAATGCCTTGATGGAGTTCGAAGATGAGCATTTTCCGCTTAGGGTAAGCAGAGATAAGCAATTTGATTGGTTGATACTTTGGGGCACGATAACTCTCTTCCTAATTGAGCTAGAATGTTCAAACTTGGTGTATGTGTTGATTAGGTCAATGCCTTGATGGAGTCCGAAGATGAGCATTTTCCGCTTAGGGTAAGCAGAGATAAGCAATTTGATTGGTTGATGCTTTGGGACACGATAACTTTAGTTCTAATTAAGTGAGATTGATGAAACTTGGTGTATAGTTTCATTACAGTAATACCTTGACTAAGTTTGATAATGAGCATTTTCTGCTCAGGGTAAGCAGAGCGATACGCAATTTGATTGGTCGAGACTTTGGAAAACAATAACTCTCCTACTTTGATTGTTAGACTATAAGTAAAGATATACTGTTTGATTGTTCAATACTTTGTAAAAGATAATTTGTGATAAATTTATATGTGTCCTCTAATTATTTTCCTATTTCGGCGGGGGACATCAGCCTCACTGTTGGCTTGTTTTTAATGAAGTCTCCCCCGTTAAGTTAAGAAAATTCCCTTTGTTTCACTCAGGAGAGATTAGATGATGAGAATGGACATGCTCCGTCAAAGACCCCAGTTTTCAGTCTCAATAGAGCAATGACTAGAGAGTGATTTCTCGGGCCATTGCTTCAGTCATTTCTGATTATTTTCCATTCAGAAATCTGTTTTAAAGCATTTTCTGCTTCGTGAAGGTTGAGATAGTAATTTAATTAGTCAATGCTTTAGGGCGCAATAGTAATCATTTTCTGCTTAGGTTAAGCAGAGTGACAAACAGTTTGCTTGGTGCTTTACCAGAAGATTAAGGAGCAAGTAATTAATGAGTGTCATCTGTTTATTATGTGATGCTCGACTTGTGTGATTTTTGTAGACTCATGGTGAAGTTGAAAGAAGAATTGTTTCACAGTTATTAACATTAATGGATGGATTAAAACAGAGAGCACATGTTATTGTAATGGCAGCGACAAACAGACCAAATAGTATAGACGCTGCCCTCCGTCGTTTTGGTATGTTGATTTATTTTGCTTATTTATATGGATCAATGCTATTTATTGATAGACACTATGTCATGTACTAAATGATATTGTTCATGTAAAAATGTCTCAAAAATGAGTTTTGTTTTGTGATGATAATTATAAGGCTTTAATGTTTACAGGTCGATTTGATCGTGAAGTTGATATTGGAATCCCTGATGCTACTGGTCGTTTGGAGATCCTTAGAATTCACACAAAGAACATGAAACTATCAGATGGTGTTGATTTGGAACAGGTATAACTTTAATATGTTTCCTATCAAGTTATACAATATCCCCAGCGGCTGATATAATAACAATATATAGAAAAAGGCAGTGGTAGGGCATTGAAGTCTGGACTGGCATGTCCTAAGTTCAGATCTTAGCATGCGATAAGAAGCTTCTGGCATTTCCTTAGCTTTTCTCTTTCCTATAGGACTCCAATGGAAAATGTGGTTTGTCATTTGGATGCATCAGAAAATTATATGTTATCAATAAGCTGTAGCTTACAGACAAGCTTTCCACCTCCCATTGGGGCTGTAGTCTTTTGAAAACTAATCATCTCTTGCATAAGTATTTTGTAGAAAGAAAATTATCACAATAGGTAGGTTTGTACAGGTTTATACATATATATCTGTATATTCTTTAGATTGCTCAAGAAACACATGGACATGTTGGAGCTGATTTAGCTGCCCTGTGTTCAGAAGCAGCTTTACAACAGATTCGAGAAAAGATGGACCTTATTGATTTAGAAGATGAACATATTGATGCTGAAGTATTGGATTCACTAGCTGTTACTATGGATAACTTCAGAGTAAGTAATATATTCAGAATTGCCCTATCACTTGTTGGTATTAATCGACCTAATAGGATATTGGCAAGAAATTGTAAATTTTGGTCAAAGTAATATATTAAAATTTACTATAAATAGTCATTAAACAATTGTTTTCTATTTATAGTGGGCTTTAAGTAAGAGTAATCCAAGTGCTCTCAGAGAAACATCAGTTGAAGTTCCTAATGTTTCATGGGAAGATATTGGTGGTTTAGAAAATGTCAAAAAAGAGTTACAAGAGTTGGTGCAGGTAATTTCTATCATTGTTATTATCAATTATTTTCCCCCTACAGACATGACATCAAGCAAACACCAATTATGATGTCAGTTGAGAGATGACAAGATATCAAGTAGCCCAACATCAGTAATATGAAGAATACATTGGTAATTTCTCTTTTTGAAAAGAAATGCCTTTATTAGTTGCCTTATATTATAAACTTTTGTATACATATTGTAATGAATTTTAATTTCCAAATAAATTTATTCTATATTTCAGTACCCTGTGGAACATCCAGAGAAATTCTTGAAGTTTGGTATGACACCATCTAAAGGGGTATTGTTTTATGGTCCACCAGGATGTGGTAAAACACTTCTGGCAAAAGCTATAGCTAATGAATGTCAGGCTAACTTCATTTCGATCAAAGGACCTGAACTTCTGACTATGTGGTTTGGTGAATCTGAAGCGAATGTCCGTGAAATCTTTGATAAAGTAAGTTTGATTGTGGACCTATATGCATAAACTTATTTTGTATAAAATATAATTTCGGCATGTAATTTTAATTAGATGCTAAGCCTGCTATTTTTATTTTTTTAGGCAAGATCAGCAGCACCATGTGTCCTGTTTTTTGATGAATTAGATTCTATAGCAAAATCTCGAGGTGGAAATGCTGGTGATGGAGGTATGGAAAACTTTATATCCGAATATCATAAGGGCTGTTCGATCTAACTTCGATAATATGAACTTTAATTGAAAGTTTCAGCCCATGAAGAGATTATGGGTAGCAACAGTAAGCACATGCTGGCCATAAAATTCGGAAAGTTTCTTTCGTCCCCTGTTTTTGACCAGTTGTTTATTACACACCGCCAGAATTAAAAATTTGATGACATGTAACCTGACAAGGATTTGTTCCTGATGGTACTGAAACACGGCAGTAACTCCTCATGGTTCATTTATTCAATGACTTAGGTATTGATGTCTAATATAAATTTTTTGCTGCAGATACAAAATCATATAGTTTGAAAATGTATTAATCTGTTTTTCAGGTGGAGCGGCAGACAGAGTTATCAATCAGTTATTGACAGAAATGGATGGTATGAGTGCCAAGAAAAATGTTTTCATTATTGGTGCGACAAACAGGTGTGGTATTATCTACTATTATTGAAACTAGTATTGTTTTGTTTGGCTTGTATGTAATAAAATGTACACTAAAACCACTCCAGCATGTAGAATTTGTGTTTTAGGCCAAAATTAGATTGTAAGGCTGACCTTAAAAATATCTTTGTTTCACCAAACCCGACCCACAATCGAGGAGAAGGGTCGGTAGGTCGTTTTTTTTCTTCAGATTTTTTTTTTAAAGTCAGAGAAATCAATACAGAAAAATTATTAGCTGTATACTACAGATTCATTAATTTTGTTTAATGAATTTTGGGTCTGACGTAAAAAGTAACGAACTTAAAGTTTTTATTTAACTTAAGAGCTAATTTGACAGCTTAATAATTTTCCAGGTGGAAACATTCGTCTTCTTTATTGGCAAACAAATCAATGACATCGTGATGCACGACTCGCACACGATTTGCCACGAACTTGAAGTGTGAAACTCCTTCAACACGTTTTTAACGATCGTGCGGGTTGTGCCTTCATTTTTCTCGAAAACGGATATTGAAAATATCGTCATGTTTAAAACGACGCACCACAGATATAAAGGCAGAATCACTTCGTGGGAATGGACGTGCTTTCGTCTGCAACCATTTTGTTGAGAAGCGACACCTATGACGCTTTCGGCTTGATCAACCAGTTTCAATAATGAATCAAACCATAGCCATAGTAAAGGGAAATAACTCTCGTGATATATTTCAGGTTGACACGCAAAATAAAATAAAAAGATCGTGCAAAAGTGCAATAAAATAATTTAAGTCGGGGGTGGTTTTAGTTAGTCGATCGCGTTAGGCGAAACAAAGATATTTTTAAGGTCAGCCTAATGTAGGCCAAAAGTAGATTGGTGATGTTTAGTTAATTTGTCTTCTGTTTTGTTTCTTTCCAGGCCAGATATTATTGACCCTGCCATATTGAGACCTGGACGTTTGGATCAGCTTATCTACATTCCCTTACCAGACGACAAATCTAGAATATCAATTCTTAAGGCCAATCTTCGTAAATCGCCTGTGTCTAAAGATGTTGATGTTGACTACCTGGCCAAAGTAACACAAGGCTTCAGTGGTGCAGATTTGACTGAAATTTGTCAACGAGCTTGTAAATTAGCAATTCGTCAGTCAATCGAAGCAGAAATTAGATTCGAAAAACAGCGAGCACAGAATCCAGACGCAGATATGGTAAGATTTTGATAATTGTGCCAAAATATTGACTTCAACTGTACCATTTTCTGTTTCCATATTTTGAATTTAATAGACCTACATTTATTTCAGTATTCTTGTATGTATTAATTATTATATATTTTTATTAGGAATATGAAGAAAGTGACCCAGTCCCAGAAATCTCACGATCACATTTTGAAGAAGCCATGAAATTTGCTCGAAGATCTGTTAGTGATAATGACATCCGCAAATATGAAATGTTTGCACAGACATTACAACAAAGTAGAGGTTTTGGTGGCAATTTCAGGTAAATATTTAACTTTAACCCTTAACCGGTCGACGTCATTTCCAATGTAAGCTGTAGACTATATTGATTTTTGGTTGAATTTCTGTAATGGATTTACCTCCCTTGAATTAGAAAACTCAAGAATAATCTGGAAAATTTCTATGTTAGTAATTTATTTATAGCTCTGTTGTAATCAAATGGGTCAGTAATTTATTTATAGCTCTGTTGTAATCAAATGGATCATTTCTTGAATGTCCAACTGCATAAAAATCTTAATCATTTCATATTTTGTGTTGTGATTCATAACTTAAAATTGTATTTATTATGGTTTAATCTCCTTATCCTAATTTGTAATGAAATTTAAACGAACTAAAGATTATGCCATACAAAACAAGAGTGTCACACTGATAAAATTACTGCATGATTATTTTGCATCATAGCCATTGAAGTTATGCATACATATAGTAGGGTGCCCCATCTCCAAATATCTTGACAATTACACCACAATATTTACAATATACCAAGCCTTAAATCAGTTTCGCACATTTATAGTCAGTAAATAAACGGTCTTGCCGTGTTTTAAAATTAGTCTCACTTAACCAGTTTACCGACTGTTCTACGTCTGATTGACAGCCCGGGATAATCAAGACTACCTTTTTACAAAACATAACAGAAAGCTGGAACAAGAAATTGAATTTAGAAACACGCACGTTAGGCAACTCAACAATTGTTTTAAGAACCTTGTAAAACTAAAATGAAACTACTGCTAGTGTCATGTTCTTGCCTAACCCGAGTGTTTCAGAGAAATAATTTTTACTAAACCAAAAGATGCCACTCTTAACAGTACAGTTAATGATAAAGCAATTTAAAAAAATAAAAGGAACATAATTTTTAAAGCTGATAAAATAATCAAAAAGCTAAATATTACTGCTATTCAGAATCGTCAACAATAGATTTTTTACGGCATTAATAGGTGGTAGATGTGTAGAGAATTGCATGTGCGTTTTCTGTTTATAGACTCAGACTCTAGCGCTGAGTATTATTTTCCGTGCATGATTAGCCAGAAATCACTACGAGACAAGCCACTGAAGCATGCACATTTGCCATGTCAAGTTCAACTTTCTGTATTGTAAATTTTCGTTGCACGGGGCACCCTAATTATGGAAAGTTAAGAGAAGATGAACTGCAGTCATATGTTTCCCCTGACCATCTATCGCGTCCATTAATGAGACAGAGTAGACAATTGAATTTCAGCAATTTCTAATCAATCTAGAGTTGTTGCCCTTACTCTAACATTTTATCTTGTGAATACTCTAGCAACATAAGTTATCATTTATGAAGTGTTCAATTTAGTAAAGTGAAATCGAATTTCAACAATTTCACTTTACTCCTAGAGTTATGGACCTTGCTCAATTTGTAGAATCTAGTGAACACTAATCGCAAAAATCATCAAATCATGTGGGTGTATGTTTCAATTCCTGGCTTAGAGATAATTTACATGATGTATGTAGCTAGTTATTGGGGCATTTCAATTGTCTAAATTAATTCCATAATTAATAAAGACTAAGTAGACCACATGATGTGGGTCCCATCGACAACTTAGTTTTCATTGAAGTCATGCTAGAGTAGCAAAAATTGAGTTACAATCAATCTTTCACAGAAGATTCAATCATGTAAGCAATTTAATTAAAGTATATTTATTGTCACCCACCTTTTGTAGAAAGCATAGAAAGCAAAGGACCATTAATAAAATGGGTTTGTCTTTTCGTCTTTTGGACACAATAGCTCTTTTTCTAATTGAGGTAGAATGTTCTTGCTGTAGTGAGGTCCTGTGTGCATTTAAAAGAACCCTTTACAGTTGGAATTTGATATAAGAGTAGGCCTTTCTACATTAGCCCAGTCGGAGCAGAACAGTAGGATTAGGATGTTAAACCCCATTTCATTTCATTTTCTTGGTGTATATGTTTATGATTTGACTTTCTTAGACTAAGCAGAGGTAAGCAATTGGATCTGTTGAACGCGTGGGACATCAAGAATGGGGAGGATGATGAAACTTGGTGTATAGTTTCCTTACAAATGCCTTGACTAAGTTGGATAATGAGCATTTTCTGCTTGTGTTGTTAATAAAGCAATCATAAGCAATTTGATTGGATTAGACCATGGAACATGATAACTTTTGATTCTAGTTTGTTGAGTGTGATTAAACTTTGTGAATAGTTTCATTATATGAATACCTTGAATGATTTTGATACTGAACTATTTCTGTTTACGCTGAATAGATGTAAGCAGTTTGATTAGTCGAGACTTTCGAACACAATAACTTTGATTCTAATTCAGTGAGATTAATGAAACTTGGTGTATAGTTTCATTCAGTGATTTTAATAGGCTGGTTTTTGTCGGCTTTAGCCGCTTGAAGTTCAATCAAGCCGATTGGTAAAACAATGAACCGGCCACTATGGTATCATAAATCAATCGACTTTCGGCTAAATTACAACGGGTTAATTATTACTTGTTAATTAAGTAGCCAAATCAACTTGCTTGTCGCTACAATAACAGTCATACCTTAGTAAGAATCGGCCATGTGGTTCATAATCCGAGTAATTAGCTCGAGTAACAGTAATTTTGATATTCCAGTAAAGAAAACAAAACAAGCTTGCTGATTATTCATAACAGGTCCAGGAAGACGATCTCGGCATGGATTGTGCACCTATCGCGCTCCTTCAACACTCCGTATGAATTCCCGGTGTACCGGTAGATATTAAAATAATAATTGGATCATAATTTAATGGTTTCACTGACCTGTTGAATATAATCCTCGGATAGAACACTGAATACACCAAAAAAACGTCATTAATAATATATTATGAATCTCCAATGTCAATGACACGTGACATTGGTTGGAATTAGGTCAATAAACCAGCGATGCTAGTTTTAGTTTTAAATAGTGTTTACCGTTATGATTTTTTATTTTATACACATGCTGACCGGCTTAATTCTTAAAATGTTATCGTTATTATTATTGAAGTCTATATGGCATAGTCATATGGAATTTAATTTTAACGTCATTTCAATTATGGTTGTCACGTGATCACTGTGTCGTGTTTCTATTCATTACATCTCTTCAGTTCCACTACCTTGACTAAATTTAATAATAAGCAGTTTGATTGCTCAGTGCTTGACAAGTGATAAATGACCATTGTAATCTATTTATTTTGGAATCGAGGTGAAGGACATCGGTCTCACTTGTTAGCTTTTCTCATAACTGTAGGTATTTTCTAAGGGATTAGGTAACTATAATCAGAATGCTTAAAATGTATTAAATAATGGAAATTTAAGAGGCTTATATATTGACATACAAACTGGCATTCACCAGTAATCTTGAAAGCATATAGTGGGGTACTCCTTAATATGCAATCCAGCATCAAAGTCGCCTTTGCTAGCTCTGATATTTTTTAAAATTAAGATAATTTTATGATTTTAAGACAGGCAGTTTCTTAGGTTTTTACAAAATATTTCCCAAGCATTCTACAGACAAAATAAAATTTTCTCAAATAGTGTTGGAAATTCGTAAAATGCTTCAAAACTTTCAGTCTCACAAACAATATCCTTCATTGTAAAAGGAAGATAAATAGTGATTTTGGATAAGAATGTGTGATTTGAGTGAATGTATATTATGATAGGAGGTAGGTAAAGAATGAGCCAAACCTACCACAGCTTGTATATAGCTGTAGCGCCAGTTTGAAGAGTTTGTTAGGGAGGAACATGTACAGTCGACACCTGTGATTGTTTATACTGCCACACATATTGTTCCCATCTCCCTAAACTTGCCCCCTTTGATTACCACATTCACCCCAGCTGCAAAACACTTTCTAACTTGTAGTTGAGCATTGTATAATTATATTGTATAAACACGTCTTCACATGAAAAAGTTACATCTTGCATTGGATGACTTGACTCAACAAGAATAGGCACCCACCCTCATTCTTAAAAGGGAGTTGCTCTGTATATATTATTTACCAAGGATGAAATAATTAACATTATGAGTGGAAAATGTTCTGACTTAAAAATTGTGTTGCAAATATCTGACTTAAAGAAAATGATGCAGTGTCAATATATAAAAATCTAATTAAAACTAGATGTTATATCTGTTCCGCTTATTCGTTAGGTCACAGGGGAGCCATGGTGGCTCAGTATGGCACTGGCTCAATAACCAGGAAGTCCCAGGTTGGTGTTAGTCTAGAGAGTTTTGCAGGAATGTCCAGTCCAGGTTCCCCTTGTCCTGTAGTGGGCAAGGAAATGGAGGGCCCATTCCAGGCAAACATATTCATAGCAAAGATGAGCATATCTTCATTAGCCCGGTTTAGAGCAGAAAATTGCGACGATAAATTCCATTTCTTTATTTCATTAAATCACTACATCTAAAGTAGGTAAGACGCTGGCTCGCTAGCCTGGAGGTCGGGTGCTCAATCCCTGCATTGACTGAGAAAGTTCATCCAGATTTTCCAGCGTGGTTCCCCCTTGTCCGTGATGCAGGACGGATGGCCTGACAAGGGCAGCTGTCTAGTCATTAGGATGGGCGAAAAACCGAGGTCCTGTGTACATATTGGCGGGCATGTAAAAGATCCCTTGACAGTTGGAATTCAATATAAGAGTAGGCTGTAGTGCAGCTGTCCGGACCAAATTTGCTTCATAGCACACTGTATCGCGTATGCCCGTCTTCATTAGCCCAGTTCGGAACAGAACAGTAGGACGTTAAACCCCATTTCATTTCATTTCACTACATGTACATCTAAAGATGTGTTTAAGAAAAGCTTGTTCCGAGTCTGTGATGACCTTATAATAATACTTCTGACTATGGTTAGATAGGCATTCTAACGTTTCGATAATATAAGCCTTTCATTACTTTCAAAAAAGTTTTGCCAAATTTTCAGGATTTGATTGGTAGGTCCACCTACCAATCAAATCCTGAAAATTTGGCAAAACTTTTGGGCTTTACTAAACAAGGCCGGTTAATAAAATAGAATAAAGTATTGGTATAATTTTAGTGTACAGACATGCATATGTGCACATATATTTGTAATTACTATGTAGGTGGTACATATGTGTGTATAATAAATGTAGATAAAATAGTCACAGGTCCATCTTGATCTACTCAATTTGTAGGGGAGATTTATACAATCAAATCAATTCTCCATATGTCACTACAATAATTATTGGCATGTGTTTGATAGATGTTTAATTTGTGTCAGAACTTTCTGGAGTGGTTTGTTTGTGTTTATATGTGCAGATCTGTGAGGTGTTAACATTGGGAGTGCAAGCCAGACATTGTGTATAAAGTTGCAAAAAGAAGAGTGATGTTTTCACTCCTGACTAAATTAGAAACATGGAGTTGACAATTATCATAACATTAAAATAAAAAATCCAACACGACTATGTTTTCACTAGCTAATGAAAAGTGTGAACATGAAAATTTAGGTTGATAACCATGATTGAAAAATGGATTAAAATAAATATATCTGAAAAAAGTTTCTTTTACTTATGTCAGCCAAACTTTGGACCCAAAAAGTTATTTTTAATGTGATTGTTCTGTAAAGACACTCTTATAAAACAGATTTTGTAATAAGTCATCTTTGGATGTTTTTAATAGTTTTAGGTTGGTAACTTTTCAAGTTCCATCTGTTGTATTATTACACGGTCCAATAAAAATGTTGATTTAAGTTGTAATTCAATCACTCCTGATAGTGATCTCGACTTGATTCTCAAGCCATTACTTACAATTTTATTTGAAAACAGAGTTAAATGCCAATAAATGGCTTTGCTATTTTTCTGTTGACTCGGGTATTGTTACTTCAGTTTAATGAAAAACACTCTACAGGTCACAATTTTTATCCGATTTTGACGAAACTTGAAATATAAGTTTATCTTGGTTCCTTTCGATATTAGCATGTATCGGAGCGAAACTTCATAGATTATGGCCCCTTATATTGTACGAAAAATCATATTTTTAGCTTGTGGTCCCTCTAGAGGTCACAATTTTTATCCGATTTAAAAAACAGTTTGAATATATCACTGTTGCACCCTAATGATGGTGGAGTTCGAATTTCATGAAAATCGGATCAAAACTGCTGGACAAAATGGTCGCCCCTCGTACGCAAATAGTGTAAATATATGGTATATCAAGGTTGTGGACCCTCTTGAGGCCACAATTTTGATCCGATTTATGTTGCAAAGATCTTGGTTCCTTTCGAAATCGCGCATATCCAAACGTAACTGCCTGGATTATGGTCCCTGATTGGACAAAAATTCGCTTTGTTTTTAGCTTATTCTCTATCCATCTCTTGCAAAATGTGGGTGTATCTTGCCTGGCAATCGCTGGTTTTAAACGATTTTAAAAAAAACAGTTGAGTTTGAATTTCGTGAAAATCAGACCGAAACTGCCTGACAGATAGTGTAAAAGTATGTAATACCAAGGTTGTGGACCTTATAGAGGTCACAATTTTAATCCTATTTTGATGAAACTTGAAATGTAAGTTATAACCTTAAGGACGGCTGAGTTCGAATTTCGTAAAAATCAGACCAAAACTGACAGACAAAATGACCGTCCCTCGTACTCAAATAGCGTAAAAATATGGTATATCAATGTTGTGGACCCTCTAGAGGTCACAGTTTTCTTTTGATTTTGATGAAACTTGAAATGTACGTTTATAACCCAAACATCTTGGTTCCTTTCGATATTCGCTCATATCTGACCGTAACTTCCTGAATTATGGCCCCTGATTGTACGAAAAATCGCGTTTTTAGCTTGATGTCCCTCTAGATGTCACAATTATTATCCGATTTAAAAAAAAGTTCAAATATATCAGTGTTACACCTTAATTTTGGTTGAGTTTGGATTTTGTGAAAATCAGACCAAAACTGCCGGATAAAATGGCTGCCCCTCGTACACAATTAGCGTAAAAATATGGTATATCAATGTTGTGGACCCTCTAGAGGTCACAATTTTCTTCTGATTTTGATGAAACTTGAAATGTAAGTTTATAACCCAATGATCTTGGTTCCTTTTGATATCCGCGCATATCGGATCGCAACTTCCTGAATTATGGCCCCTGATTGTACAAAAAATCGCTTTTTGTTTAGCTTATTCTCTATCCATCTCTTACAAAATGTGGGTGTATCCTGCCTGGCAGCCGCTGGTTCTTTGTTTCTACATAAAAAAGTCAACAAAAGAGAGAGGAAGATTTTAAATAACTTTTGCATAGATTCGTGGATAACCAGCCAAGGAATTCGTGGTCTCCTGTGTCGATGCAAATTAGTTGTCTCACTTGATTCACCACCCACAACTAACATATTTTTAAGCACCAGCCCTCGACAAAATCATAGGGTGTACCATAGTATTTTAATATTAGTAATTCTTCATTGTTCTGACGAAATTACTATTGTGAAAAACTTATTACATGACATTTTAGACTGTTCAAAAATCACATCCACATATGAGGTCATTTCCTTCATACTGGTCAAAAAATCCTGTAAACCAGACAGTCAACACTATCATGTAGGTTGTAAAAATTATCAGATGGAGTCTGTATTTCAATCTGTTGATTTATGCTGTCATTTACTTGAAGTTATCCAAATATAGAAATGCCATATAAGCAAGGATGACCTGTTATAAAAACTTGAATATAAATGTGTGAAACAAATTTTAATGAGTGATACAGTTACGTCAGTCTCATACAAAAAAAGCCTGGACAAATTAACCATATGAATATGATTTCAGCACCTGCCTAGTTAGTCTAGAATTTATTGATTTTTACCAATGGTTTTAAATGAAATTTGGGACAAATTCAAGGACAATGATGGCTGGTCGGATGAAGGGTGGATGGAGGGTCTGGAAGGTGTCATTTGCATTAACATGTAGAAAAGATACACCACTAATAATAACAAAGTCAGTTATTAATTGACATTTAGTAGTAACAATACACAGTCAAACCAATACTATAATAGCAAAATTTATCATCTTTTAGAAATAACACCCATCATGAATCTTGGGAAATCTTTATGCATGAAATTCATCATGTAACATACAGCAGCTACATCGTCCGGGCAGTTAACAAGGGTTGTCTTTTTTATATTTTTTTGTCAGTAATGAAATCATTTACAACACACTAAAATCTGAGTACCAGTATCAAAAACCATTAGAATTTGTTTTGATTGTTTGTCTCATGACCTTAAACACTGTGAATAAATTTATAATAACTTTAGCCTCTAGCACTTCCACAGAATTTCTCAAATGATCAAGGGCCATAACTCTGACTGTAATTATTAACCAGCGGTTTATAAGCAAGAGATGAATAGAGTACAAGCTAAAAATTACAAAAGCGATTTTTCGTACAATCAGTGGCCATAATCCAGAAAGTAATGGTCTGAAATGCGCAAATATCCAATGTGACTGAGATCTTTGGGATATAAAGATAAATTACATACTTTTACACAATTTGCGTAAAAAGAGGAGCCATATTGCCGGGCAGTTTTGTTTCAATTTTCACGCAATTCAAATTCAACTTTCATTATGGTAGAGAATGGCAATATATTTAAACGGTTTTTAAAATCGAATAAAGATTGTGACCTCTAGAGAATCCACAAGCTGCAATCAGTGGCCATATTCTAATATGCAAATATCAAAAGGAAACAAGATTTTTGGGTTATAAACATGCATTTCATGAAAACCTGATAAAAATTGTGACTTCTAGAGGGTCCACAACCTTGGTATTACATACCAGCCATTTTTTTTGTCCGGCAGTTTCGGTCTGATTTTCCTGAAATTCGAACTCAACTGACATTATGGTGTTTAACGGTGATATATTTGAACATTTTTTTAATTCGGATAAAAATTGTGACCGCAGTGGGACCACAAGCTTAATAAATTGTGTACTGTGGGGCCACATGTACCTTTGTATTATGACTCATTCTTAAACATACATTATGCAAGAGCTAAATCTGTCTATTGCAGGTCTTTCTTTAGGCCTGAAATGTTATCTATATTATTAATTAGACATTAATTAACTTATCCAGACCATAATCAACTCTAGATGGCATCGTTAGCCTGCGATCTTAAGTGGATTGTGAGCCGATTTATTGCATAACTTTGCTTCTCGATTAAACGATTCAATGGATAATCGAGACTATGCTGTTTATCGTACTGACTTTAATAATGATGACCGAGGCTAGGCAGAAATTGCATTCGCTTAGTTCTCGGTTCATAGTGGATCAATTTGAATGAAATTTTCAGCAAATTGCCTTTACGTTATCTAGTTTTTAATTCCGGTTTCCTCCCACTGCTAAAGACCCCTACGTGCAAGCGAATTATGTAAATAAAATTAAACCATATGTTAGTCCTGAAATGACCTAGTTTGTGTCGAGTGGACGTTAAACCCCATTTCTCTCTCTCTCTCTCTCTCTCTAGTTTTTAATTATTATAGCGAGAACTGCCAACTCGTTATCGAATCTCCCATAATGTATCTTTAAGTATATATTGCTTGTATTTTTCAGATTCCCAGGTCAAGGTGGACCAAGTCAAGGACCCAGTCAAGGTGGCACAGAGGGAGGAAACTTTGATAATGATGGGGATGATGATTTATACAGTTAAATAATTCGAACCATTGAATCATCTTGATATCATCTTACAAACAAAATTAAGTTCTAAAAGCTAAAACTAAAAAATATTTAAAAAAGAGACATTTACAAAATCATTATTTAGAGAAGTCATTTTTTTGTGTTTTGATAGACTAATATATCCTCTGTATGTAAATATTGACAGCAAGTGAAACATTAAAATATTATTTTGGTGGTTTTCAGTTGATGATAACACTTCATGTTTAAAAATTGTTATGACTTAGGTTTTTATTATTAAATACATTTGTTTCTTCTAGCAGAAATCTTATTTATTAATATTTAAATTATAATTCTAGTTCAGTTAACACAGGGAAGGTTTCTATTTCTGTATTATGTTATTTGTGATACATGTAAGTGCTGTTGAATTTTTAACTCATCATCCCATCTTATCCATCCTGAGAATTTTAAGCCAAACATGTATCATTCATATGTCTATAGCAACGCTTTTATTGTAGTTGAATTTGCTCGACAACTTGAACAAGTATTGGCTTGGATCACTTTTTGATAATTACATTATTTCATGTAGTTATTCATCACCATATAGAACCCTCAAAAATGGTAACATAATTTAAGCTGAATTGTATCTTTGATTTAGGACAACCCAGAGCAGTGCATATATTTATAAAATTTGTAGAAATAACTCTGACTGTCATTATGCATATAATAATTTGCAAATTGACAGTATGAAATGGAATTTGTTGACACAAGGAATTTGTATATTGTCTACCAGAATAGGTATTGTTAACTTTGTTGATATGTGCAGTAAATATACTTTATAAATGTGTGTAAACATCATTGAATGCTAACATGATAATTTGTATTTAATTTCAAGGCATTCTTTAAATAAATAATTGAAACATAGTTGACCATGGTTTATCCTTTATGCCATCAAGAAATCTGATATCTTATCACATTCACAGGTGGGGGGGGACTCGGAAACAGAAGGTCTGTGAACGCTGAATATTTGTAGGGTTTATGACCACAATGATTCACACCAGATTTTAGACAAATCCATTAAACCATAACCTTCATCATGCTCACAAGGTTTTGGAAAAAGGGATTTGACTTTGAATATCGATATGGTGAACCTAATTCTTCCAACCACATTTTAAGAAAATCGTTAACACTTTTGCCTCCCTTATGTTAACAATATTTTCGGAAAAGGGGGCATAACTCAATGAGGTATTTAAATTAAAACAATATCTCACCTGTTTGCATATATTTTGATATAAAACTATATTAAAGCTGCAGATAGTTATTGGGTGGGGGATCCATTTAACATTTAATTATCAAAACACCAACGGTAAATAATCCCTATGATTAGGTTCAGTCGGATTAAAAAGCGGCCCGTCTGGTTTTAACCATATTCCGTTTATATCATCTGCAAACGATGCCGAATGTACGCAATTGATCCACCTTCGAACTGATATTCCTTTTAAGGATTCAACTTTCACAGTATTGTTGGCGAATTCTTGTAACCCATGTTTGCAAAAGCCTATCAAATTTCTTTGCTGTAGCAAACAGAAAAAAATATATGCATAAACTGTTTTAAAAAAGATATTTATTTTATAAAACTGAGCATTTACAAATTCGTGTGGAAATGATACTTACGAACACACGACACCCAAGATGCATATTCTAACATTAGTAAGCCCTGCACCTATTTGATACTATATGTACTAGAAAATTAAATTTATGGACTGCTTCGAATATTAAACTATACTCTTCAAAGAAAGTAGGGGATATTGAAATGCAAATACCTATGCAGGTTGTGATATGATAAATAGTCATGGACACTTGACAAATGACATGCTTTGAGAGTATGTTCACAGATTTAGAACTTATCGCCCCAACAGAACCACTGAGCTGCACGTGCTACACGCAATATCGCCATACACGTGGGCGGGGTTCATTGTCAAATTTGACACTTCAAGGAAGGGTTGATGAAAACTGCCGCGAGCTGGTTTATCCTATCCATGTTTGCTTTCCCATCGGTTCTTGCATAAGATTTACTGTTTAGCGTAACTTTGCTTTAGTGTGTTACGTTTAAGTTGACCGGGAGACGTGTTCGTCGACGTCAACGTCAACCGACAATACTGCAAGAATTGGCCGTGGCACTGCAAGAGGAGTGGGTCAGATTGCCCAAATCGTGATTGGGCGGTTGGTTAGGAGCATACCACGACGAATTGCTGAATGTCTGAGGATTGGTAGAGCAATTACTCATTGTTAAGACAAAAATCAAAAACGTCCATTTTCACTTTTGACAGTGTATCTCTTTGCGAGTGAAATGGGGCCGTCAGATAAGCCGCCCATATGAACTGTTTATGTTCATGTGTAGGCAATTGGCCTGTTATTAACATACACTGATTACCTCTAATAAAAACATTCGTCCGAATTACAATTGGTGTGGTTTGGTTTGGCGGGACTGATTACTTTGGCCTGGGGGTTCCTATAATAAGTTCTTGATTTATTTGCAGGAATTACGAGGGATCCTGCAATAATTTCTTGATTTTCAGGGATTACGATTACATTCCTGCTTGACTTTGACGTTCAGTGAATATTGCAAAAATCACTCCTTTTTGAAACGTTTCAAGAATTGTTTCTGTTTCAGATAGGAGATTTCTGTTGATTTAAATGTAGTTAGACCTCACACAACGATTCCACCGTGCTTCAACTTTGTTTGTAATCTGTGTAAATTAATAGCCCGAAGGTGTTTAGTCGTATAAACACACGTCTATAAACTATATAGCCATAGAAAATATATATTCTTTGAAAGTTGGCAACCAAGAACCTTTTATGTACCCCAGAAAAAAAAACACCTCAAAAATTCTAATGTGAATGCCTCAATTATAAATGCGACGCACCTTTCATGACCTTTGTATAATACAGCATTCAATGAGATAAATTTGTATTTGGTTTTATTAGTCCAATGAATTAAATATAATTCATATACATATGGAATTATCTGGAAATAGGGTCCACTAGGCGTTGGGTGTTCGATCCCTGCATTGGCCGAGAAAGTTCATCTGGATTTTCCGACGTGGTTTCCCCTTGCCAGTGGTGCAGAACGGAGGGCCTGACAAGGACAGCTGTCTAGTCCTTCGGATGAGACGAAAAACCGGGGTTCCGTATATACATTGGAATGCACGTAAAAGATCCCTTGGCAGTTGGAATTCGATATAAGAGCAGGCGATAGTGCCGCTGCCCGGGCAAAATTTACCTCATAGCACACTGTATGGCGTATGCCCGTCTTCATTAGCCCAGTATATGAGCAGAACAGTAGGACGTTAAACCCCATTTCATTTCATTACACTAGGCGTTGAACTCTGCAAGGTACCAAAATTATTGGCAAAGGGCAAAGAACACATAAATCATGTCTCTGATTGATAATCCGATGAACTGCTTTACACGTAGATTTTGTTTAGAGTCAGAAATCCTGTTATTAAGATAGAATTTTATTATAATATAAACAACAGTAAGCCTATAATAGAACATCGTATAACACAAACAACATATTATGATAACACATGACATTATGTAAACGACCAGAGTAAAAACATTTACAAAGTTGACATAAACAGGAATATATAAGAACACAAGACATAATTTATGAAAATGACAAGTTAAAACATTCACAAAAGTGATACAAGGAATATGTAACAATTGTACTGTTTCCAAATTCCAAAACATCCTAGATTCTCATAGTTTATATCAACATGTGAAGACTAAATCACACAAACGTGGACATATTCTTGACTTTGTTATCTCTGAACGAAACAGCCAACTTACTAATACCCTTGAAGTAACTACTCATTTATTGTCAGATTGTTCTGTTGTGCCAAACAGAGAAACCAAAAAACACACAATAGTCAGTTGACTCGATGCATTCGGCCAAGAAACAAGAGTATTCAAACATTTCTCAAATTTAATACAGTGTCTTGACGTAAATACATAGGTAAAAAGTAAAAACTCTGTGAAACGATCGCACGTTCAGAATTATCAAAAACAACATCGAAGCTAGCGGCATTCACTCAATTGCTATCCCATAATTCCGAGATACTAAATTTAGACGATACACCCAAATAATAATTATGAAATTAGCAAATAATTAAATTATCGAATAATGAACCTTTCTTAAATGCATAAAAAATATGTCAAGAAGTTACTAAACTAAAATCAACAAGCTATTTGCTAAAATAAGAAATAAATGCAAATGACGTCATATTCAAAGCAAAGGGACGGAACTCAACTTAGGAAATCATCAGACCACACCAAATCACAAATGTTCGCCAGACAATGTCCTAACACACAAAAAGTCACAACAGCACATTCCCCACTTAAAAGTTTTAACTTTTACTAAGTTCCTTCTCGGTAGAGAAGTATAAGTTCAGAAGTTGGTCTTGAGTAAACTTTTCTTTTTCCCGTAAGAGTAGGTGATTCTGGTTTATTGTCTTCGTAAACTAGAACTTCAACTTGACGTACAATATCATCACTACTTGGAACAACTTTCTTAATACGACCTTTCAGCCAAACTCCTCTTGGTGAGTTTTTATCGTGAATAAGTACAATGTCATCAATTTTCAAATTTGGTATGTCTTTGTTCCACTTTCGTCGTCGTTGTTGTTCTTGGAGGTATTCCTTCCTCCACCTCAGCCAAAATTGATCCGCTAAGTATTGGGATCTTCTCCATCGATGCTGACTGTACAAATCTGGCCTTGTGAAATTACCAGGTGCAAGATTATATGGTCTCGATTTCATGGTCAAGAGGTTTACTGGTGACAAAGGAACTGGATTGTCCGAATCTGATGGAATTGCTGTTATCGGTCTTGAGTTGACGATCGCAGCAGCTTCCAACATTAAGGTTGATAACAAGTCATCGGTGAGCTGGGCTGTTCCGATTTCAACAAACGTCCCTTCCAAAACACGTCTGACTGTTCCGATCTGCCGCTCCAAAATTTCTCCAAAGTGGCTGGAGTGAGGAGGGTTAAATATCCATTGACAATCATGATCCAATAAGTAATAAGTAATTCGTACCACAATCTGATCTGATGGTAGAAGCAGGACCTCTAATTGCGAAAAATCTTCTCATCGCGTTGAAAAAGGCGGAGGTGTCCATGGAATTGACCACCTCAATGGGTACAGCGCGGGAATAGAGACAAGTAAAAATAATTCCCCAGCGCTTGGCGTTGGTTGTTACTCCTCTGGTCTTCCTTGTTGTTACTTGCCAAGGACCAAAGGCATCAAGTCCAACATGAGTAAAAGGAGGAGTTGCTGACAATCTATCGAGGGGTAGATCAGCCATCTTTGGAACATCTGGAATTTTGGGTAACAGTTTACATCTGATACATTTGTGAATCACTGAATTTACCACACTGGCCCCAGCAATAATCCAGTATCCAGCCATCCTTATTGAACCATGGGTGATGGATCTTCCTTGATGGTATACCAATCCATGATAATGGTAAATAATCAGATGTGAGACATGTTTGTTTTTTGGTAAAACCACGGGATGCTTCTCTTCTAAAGGGAGATTTGCCTTGCGAAGGCGGCCACCAACTCTAATAAATTCATCTTTCATATAAGGGTCTAGCCTGTAGATGTTAAGAGTTTGGTGGACAGGTAGCATTTTCTCTTGCAAGTTCTCTGTATTCCAAAGTAAAGGCATGTTGCTGAACATGTTTAAGTATAAAAGATTCAGCTTCTTTCTTCAAGACCAAATCAATGTTCTTATCTTGAGTTTTACCAGTCTTCTGTCTGATGACTAGTTTCAGGTTAGCAATGACTTTCTGCAATTTGTTCCAACTACCATAATGACTAAACAATTTACAGATCAGACATTCTTCCTTAGCGTCAGCGTTTAC